TCTTTCCTGCCTATGCAGGGGGTCAGACTCGATGATCTATTGAGGTCCCTTCCGACCCTAGCATCTATGAATCTATGACGTTTTTAAACAACTATCTGCAATGACTCCAAGGTCGCTTTCCTGAGTTGTAACAGCTAGTTCAGAACCCAGCATTATGTACATATGATTGAGGTTATTTTTCCCCATGTCCATGTGCTTGTTGACACCTTCAAAGACCTTCAGCAGGTGGGTGAGGCAGGATTCCCTTTTTTGAGATATTATGTGAACTCTTCCCCAGCAGATCATATTTGTCCATGTGACTGCTGGAAGTGAAATTCAGTGGTCTGTTGTTCACAGGATCACCTCTGGAGTCTCCTCTTCTTTTTTTGAAGATGGGTGGTATATTGGCAACCCACCAGTCCTCTGGTAAAAGGACCATTTGTAATTCTGAATAGACTCAGTTGCCTACAATTGCTCATTCCCTCCCCCCCTTGTCGACACTCCCAGGAGACTGCTGCCCATCCCTCCCTGGGCTGTTTGTCTCATGATGCTGCATCTACTTCATGGAGCCCAGAAAAACCACTGCCCACTCCCAGCCCAAGAGATCCCAGTCCTGCCAGGAGTTGATCACAGGGTCAATGCTTAGGGCAGGGCTTTTCAACCTTTTAAAAGAACTGTACCCCTTCTGGTAGCAGTGTGGGGGTCGGGGGGTGTACACGGCAGCCAGAAGTGGAGTGGGGGTGGGGGGAAGTGGTTGCATGCCACTACCACCACCCCACAGGCTGCTGTGTGGCAGGTGATTGGCCAGGTGCGAGGCCCTGTGGAACCGCACGTGTAACCGGCCGTGGGAAAGCGGTGCATGACGGTGAGTGGCAGTGGCACAGTGGTGGGTAGTGGAGCTCCATCCCCACCCACCTGTGTGAATCCCCTAGGACCCTTCCAAGTACCCGCTCTGGCAAGACATCCTCTGACTTAGGGAATGGAGACCCCCCCGGCCCCTGCAACTAACAGCAGGGATTGAGGTCATGACCTTCAGAGCTGAACAACTGAGCAGAAGCCCAGGTTTCTGCATGGTGAGCTGCAAGGACAGCTCTAACCACATTCTGCAGCAGACCCAGCTCTGCGTGCGGTACTCATTGCACATGCTGCCTGCCAGGGTGGGTCCCTGGTCTCTGAACCAGGGCTGCATCTGCATGCTGTAGCCCACAGTTTTGAGCCCACTGAGCCCTGACTGCAGGCAACGCATGCTACTGCTCCCTCTGCGGGCAGGGCATGGACTGGGGGGGCCCAGCTGGAAGTGCAGCCCCCCGCACTGCACTCATGGCAGTGGCAGCGAGATGGGAAAAGGGCTGCAGGTCCTGGGCGCTGCCCCAGGCTCCTGAGCCATGACTCTGCACCGTGCAGCCCCGCCAGGCTCCCAGTGACTGCACTGACTGCGCTCCCCATGCGGATTCCCACTACAGCGCATCATGAATGGACCAACCAGCACATGAGCCCAGAAAGAGGCTTTAACCCCCAGTGGCCAATCAGAATGTGGCAGGAGGATGTGTCTTGTTGGAAGCCAGAAGGGCCATCAGCCAATCGGGACACAGGGAAACGGGGCAGGGGAGGCACGTGTTGAGGTCCTGGGGCCACTGGGTTGTGACGCCCTGGACTACCAACAACTCGGGACTCCTTGGAATTTACAGAAAAAGGCTAGTGCCACCGCCCAGCGAGAGCGCGCCTGCCAGCAGAGAGCCCAGAAGGCAGGTTCGGTTGGTTCCACTGCGGTACTGCTTCACATAGGGACTGGGCACCTCTCCTGCTATGCGGAATGGAGGTCGACATCACCATCAAACCAGTTCCTTATCACACATTCTACAGTCTGCCCACCTGGCTTCAACTTGCCACAGTATATGGGCCTTGCTGAATAGGCTCCTGACAGGGCAAGGTCTCTGCACGGTCAGTCTCCCTCGTGCTGGGCACGCAGCTCCTTTTATATGCTCCAGGGCTCCGCCCCTGAAGTCTTCCAGACCTGACAGTTTGCAGTCTTTAATCAACTCTTCTCCCCCACTCCTCAGGAAAGGGGCAAGATGTTATTTCTCTTGCTGCCTCCTGATTGGTGGATGATGGGCTCCACCAATTAAAACAGCAGGATCTCAAGCCTCGGACTCAACCCAAGATCTGAAAGGTAAGCCTGCTACACATATAATACCAAATATGAACAAAATAACTTACAACCTATACAACACAATTAACACACAGGGATATTAACCTATATAACCCAAGTAAATTAACAATACTACTTCTTTAAATCTTCGCAAATAACAATACCAATATACACATTGAGACAGTAAAACACATAAACCATATAACCCCCGCTTAAAGAATACCCCTAGCCATATAGCCCTTAACATGACAACTTCAAAACAGGGAATGCACTCAGCACCTCCACGAGGGGGTTCCCTGTGTCACAACCCAAAGTTGTGGTTTTTCTTGTTTGTGTGTGCTTCGGCATCGCTAAATCATGTTCCCGCCAAATTGCAGCTCTTTTGCACGGTGGAGC